GAAAAAATATTGAGATATATATCGTATATCGCCATTCAACTTAAAAATATCGAGATATTATTTTTGGTTCATATCGCCCAGCCCTACTGACCACAAAGCTTTTTCTTATGAAGATGACTGAAGGGAAAACMCTCAAGTGTTGAGCATCTCAGAAGGAGGTTTTAGTTTTACAGTCTGGTTTTTCCTAGCTGTGGCTTAGACTGATGCTTTTCTTAAAAAAACAAACAAACAAACAAACAAAAAAACCCCAACAACTTTAAAACAGAAGTGAGAGTGATGGTGTTTGAAAGCTGTATTAACTGTTGTTCATCCATATTTATCGGATATGGTTGCTTCCAGGGAATGTTTTACTTTGCACAGAAAGTAAGTGCTGCTGTATTTTTATGATAAATGTTAGCTGTTTATGCCTTCCTGTAGCAGTTCAGTTTGTTTAGGATTAGGGTTGGGCATAATCGTATCGTGTGCAATTAATTGTCAGAAAAAACACTAATCGATTACTTTTTGGCACTCTACTTAATACGATTAATGCCACCAGGCAGAGTCCGCTCAGTTCTCCTCTCTGCTTCAAATTTGACGAACATAAAAAAAATGTAATTTATTTATCTATCAACACAATTTTAAATTTGATGTTTAGCCTGAAGTCTGTAATTTTGACACAATTTGGAACAGATTTTTATGAAGAGCAAATCTTTCCCACTAAATTGGTCATTCGACAAGGACATGAGGTTGTCCAGGGACTTCAGGGGTATAATAGTCAAATTAATCATTAAATACCACAATTAATCATGATTAATTTTTTGCCAATATTGCTCAACCCTATTTAGGATTATAGTGTTGTATGAATGTACTTAGAGTTGATTACAGCGTTTGACAAACTACATGTGCAGTACTTTAAAGAGCTAATCCAAAGCATTTCTCTGAKCAAAATGTTTTTGCAGTGGAACAAAGGTGTTTTAATGATGAGATTTTATACTTTTCTAAATGTTTTATCACTGGACTAGTTTGGTGTTTTTACATCAGACTGAGAAATAAAATAAAAAATCCTGGAAACTAGGAATGCGTGATATAAACAATATACGGTAGAAACGATATAAATTTGTCCAATGATAGAGATCTGTAGTCTACCGGCCGACCGCACAATTCTTTTTGATGACTTAACCGGCTGGAGTCAAAACAGAGGAAGTGTGGCTGAGAGCGCAAATGAAGAGGGGGAAAAAAACTTATCCGGACCTGGTTCGGATGTGTGAAAATGAACGCCGAACTGTTTACATGTTTACTTGACGGCACATCCTCCGGTCGGATGCCGACCGACCACACTGCCTGCTGCGGGAGGAGCGCGCGCCGTGGCATGTGTGAAGGGCTCGACACACGGGAGGCGACGTCGCTCGTTCTCCATTTATTTCCACGCAGCGAGGCGACTGTCAGTGCAGGTGAAGTCAGTGCAGGTGAAGTCAGTGCTCAGGTGGGACGCACAAAAATCAGTCTGGACCTCGTTTCTCCTGCGGTCAGAGCGCGACGACGCACAGCCGAATGCGCGCGCACTCCAAAGAACAACTATAATAGTCACCCCGCCGGAGCGCGCACAGATTAAACATGTGGAGTGCAGAAAAAATAATCTGCAAAGTGTGTAGAAAGGAATAAATACAAGCAATTTGTTTTACCACCTTAAAACGAAGAAGTGTCCCTTTTAAAAAGGAGATTTTAAAGTCTAAATTTTTACCTATACATATTTATTCCACTCAATGTGATTTATTTATTTTCTATTAAGTTTTATATCGTGATATATATCGTTATCGCCACCCATCATAATGTGTACCGTGATATGATTTTTTTGCCATATCGCACATTCCTACTGGAAACTCGTTTTTATTGTTTGTTCCAACAAGGGTTGGGCAATATTGGCAAAAAAATTAATCGCGATTAATTGTGGTATTTAGCCGATAACGATTAATTTGACAATTAATCCCCTGGAGTCCCTGGACACYCTCATGTCCTAGTCACATGACCAATTTAGTGGTAAAGATTTCATAAAATCTGTTCCAAATTGTGTCAAAATTACAGACTTCATGCTACACATCAAATTTAAAACTGTTGATAGATAAATAAATTGCAGAACTTAATTTTAATGTTCATCATATTTGAAGCAGAGAGGAGCAGCGAGCGAGCGGACTCTGCCTGGTGGCATTAATCGTATTAATCGTCAAGTGCCACAAATTAATCGATTAATGTTTTTCTGACGATTAATTGCACACGATATGATAATGCCCAACCCTAGTTCCAACAAAACAAAACTATACACTCGTGGGCAGATGTTCCTTTTTTTTATTTGCTTTTTTATTTAACTTTGTTTCTGCTCGATTCCTCCAGAGCAAATCTTCCAGAACCTTCGCCAAGAGTACAGCCGGATCCAGAGGCGGCGGCAGCTGGAAGGAGCCTTCAACCAGACGGAGGCCTGCAGCTCCAGTGACGCCCCCAGCCCCAGTTCCACCCTCAACGCTCCCAGCTCCCCACCTGGTACGATACGCAAACATCAGCGCTGTCATATGCCTGAGCAGAGGATAAACACACTACTGGAGACAATGGGCTTGTTCAGTAGGTGTAGAAACAAGTTAAAACACATTATCAGAGTGTAGAAATGTAAAAAAAGTTATGCTTTGCTTGTTTTTTTTTTTGTTTTTTTTCCGGCATCACATTTAGAAGAGAAGCAGTTTGAGCCATAAATGTGTACTAATGTGTAAGACGTAATTCAAGCCCTCGGTCTTCAGGCTCCTGTTCAGGACAAACTCGTACATCATCCTGACTGGGCCGTTACTAACCGGGTCTCTCTCCGGCTCCAACACCGCCGCTACGTCTTCGTCTTTGCTTCACCATCCAACACTGATTTACACACATCTGAGTCCACCTGGCTCAGGGCACACATAAAAGAGCACAAAGTGATGAATCACCAAGCTAAAGCTGGCTCCAGTTTCAGTGTGACCGAGACACAGAGACTGCCAGCATTAGTTCTGCATGACCCTGGTCCTGTATAAAAAGCAACTGCAGACAGCACACTTTCTGCCTGTCTGACTTGTGTCTGACTTGTGTTCTGCTTTTCAGGTGCCTCAAAGAAGGACCAGCCCTCGTTCACACTGAGGCAGGTCAGCTACCTGTGTGAGCGCCTGCTCAAAGACCACGAGGAAAAGATCCGGGAGGAGTACGAACAGATYCTTAACACAAAACTCGCAGGTAAAAATCAAAACCAGCTGCAAAACCACATGTCCATTTTCAGCTATTTTAATTTGCTCTAAAGTGCAAGGACAAGGACAGTAAAGTATATTTTCCTTGTCTATATCATACTGTGCAGTGTGGCTGTTTATGTGTCTCTAGATTCTTAAAAATGTAACTTTTTTCACATCAGTTGGAGGGAAGTGCAGCAGTAGAATATGAATACATGTTTATTTAATTATTCAGGTCTGGTTTAGCAGTGTGTTCAGCTTTTTTTTTTTTTTTTGCCACTTCAGTAGAAAGCAGAACTGATTATCTGAATATTAGTATCTTAGCTTCTTCATCATCAGTGGCCTTTTTTTCTTTTTTTTTTTAATAGGAGAAAAAAGAGAAAGAAAAAGGTGAAATGTAGTAATGAGAGAGTGAAAGAGAGATTAGAAGATATGTGAAATACAATATATGATGAGAAAACACAACCCGACTTCTTGGCTCCACACCTACAAAAACAAAGATAGCAAAACCACAGCAACAAAAATGCATATCTATATAATTATAATGACTATAGCCTTGCTGAAAACCATACCCATACCTTTCTTTTTCCAGAACAATATGAATCTTTTGTGAAATTTACGCAAGACCAGATCATGCGAAGATACGGAGCTCGACCTGCAAGTTGTAAGTTTCCTTCAGAGAGTGAATATTTGTTGCTTTAAAAGGATGAGCTCAGCTTATTGAATGTTTTTTTTTTTCTTCCAGACGTCTCCTGAACTCTCATCGCTGTGGTCCTGACTTCCTCTCACACGACGGCTGCTCTTCTTCTGCCTCCTTGTTGATTTTAAATTTTATTTCCCTAAACCCCCACCCMCTCACCAAGTCCCCCTTTTCCTCCCTGCTCAGACAGTTTGGGTGCCATGGTTTGAGTTTTAATTCCAAAAGTTGTTCCTTAYCTTCAAACTTCTGCTGCTGGCCAAACAATCTGAAATGGTAAATTCTGTATAAAGCCTGTTTTTGTTTTGCTGTAGAAAAGCTCATTGGCTTGTGATGATTCTGTATAATCTCCCAGCAGTGATATTTAMCAGCTCCTGCTTCTCACAATATTCCACTTCTCTCCACCCCGTTCCCCTCCTCGCCTCCTTYCTCACAACCTTACCTGAGATCGTGGATTTTTCTCCCTTTTGAAGAAAAACAATAAAAGTTCTGTGACTGAAATGTGTGTTTATGGATTTTTTTTATTTTACTGTATCACATGTTCCTAATCTGTATACAAGACTCCAAACTTCCTTTGTTCTGCACTGAAAGTACCTCTAGTTTTAGATGAATTCGAGGCTGAYACACTTTGTTCAGATTGTTTTCTTGTGTTTTTTGGAAAATTTACTCTGTTTGACAGGTCTGTTTGAACCTTTTTAAAAGTTAAAGAATTTCACATTTAAACAGCCAGGATAATTAAAATGACAACATTTGATCAACTGAACATTTTATAAATGTAATGTTTTACACAGCGACCATATATAAGCTTTTGTTAGAGGTTAGCTGTGCTGGAACAAAAGAGYGTTTTATCCTTAGAAGTTTCTTCTGGATTTCACTTTGTTGAAATCATTTACGCCCTGAATCGTGACRTAAACATCTCGACACCTGGTCAGGTATCCTGACAACAGGTGTTGTATCTTTTGCACATTTCAGATTTAAACATCACTTATCAGATGGTTGCACTGAAATGAGACAATGTCTAAGAATCAAGAACGATTTTAAACAAAATCCTAGAAATATAGGAAAATTAATTGAATTAATGTGTTTTAATAAAGTCTGTCCAAGTTCTTCGAGATATATTTTGCTAACACAAACAGGGTAGACTCCAAATGGTCAAGCTAACTTATTTTTTAGCAAATCTCTTGCACAGAGTAATGGTATTATTGTGAATAACTCACCTATGATCACACTGAACTTCAGCGCAATATTTGCTAAATTAAAAGTATTTTCATGTTTGAGTGTGGCAGCCAATTTGAAGTGGACAGACTTAAAAACGAATCCGTTGTAGATGATGATTATTTAAAGTTTATTTAAAATCTATGGTTCATGAGATATTTTGCTAATAAAATTTATTTTATTGGAGTTACTGGAGTAAACCGCAAGGAGACATTATGCATGTAAACTACAGGGTTCTGCTGCCACCTTGTGGTTGATCTCGGGTACTACATWGTTAAATTCAAGCTCTGGATTGTTTATATTTTAATCCACCAGACGTGGCATCATTTATCTAAATATGGGCCATGTTTGGACAAACAGAGACCTTCCTCTGGGCTGTGAAAGTGTGTGTGTGTGTTCGGGGGCTTGTTTCTCTTACCTATGAAGGCGCTTTGCCGTGTGACGTCACAGACCTCAGGTGTGGCACAAACAGGTAGACAGTCTGGKTTTGTTCGCGCCGTAAACCCAGTCTGTTCGGACAGGAACTGTGCGTCCCACAGGAAGAGGAGAGGGAGGAATCTCGCTTGTTTGTTTGTGCCGAGGAAGGAAGGAAGGAAGGAAGGAAAATAAGCAAAGTTCTAATTAAATCCGCCCGAGGAGTGCCTGAACTGTTCCGTGGGTTTCTGTTCGTGTTCTGACCGTCGGAACCAGCAGCACTCCACCTGGTAAAGGTTCAGGTAAGTTGGAGCAAACTGCATCGTGTTTGTGTTGATAAAAAAAATAAACAAAGCTGTGATGTTTTCAAACAAAACGACCCGCATCAGGTTCCTCATTTGGGGCTCAGAGCAGGAAACCCCTCCTAACAGCTCAACAGATTCACTTCTGGGTTAAACACGAAGAGACAAAGAAGTGCTGTCTTATTGTTTAAAGTGAAACAAATCTAATGTCTTTTTTTTAATTATTTAACATCAGATGTTAAGGTTTTATAATGTAAATAATGTAATGAGTCGATCTGTTTCCTTTCAAACTAATTAGAACTGATTTTGTAGTTTTATTTGACTTGTTTGGACCTGTGTTTTTTTTTCTTTTCTGTCTGAGTAAATCTACACCTAAAATATTAACATGCAGAGGAGTCCTGATGCATCTCAGTAATCCAGGTAAAAAATCAAA